GTTATTAGACAATTTTATCCAAAATTTTGTTTCGAAAAATTTATTTAAAAAAATAAATATTTTGATTATGGGACGCATGATTATTCCCCAAATGTCATTTTTACGAAATGTCATTTTACCGAACTGCACTTTTGCGAATAATCATTTTTGCGAAAAGCCATTTTTGCGAAATGTCATTTTTACGAATAGTCATTTTTGCGAAAAGCCATTTTTGCGAATAGTAATTTTTGCGAAAAGTCATTTTTACGAATTTTCATTTTTGCGAATTGTCATTTTTGCGAAACCCATTTTTACGAATTGTCACTTTTGCGAATTGACATTTTTGCGAATCGCAATTTTTACGAATTGTCACTTTTGCGAATCGACATTTTTACGAAATGTCATTTTTGCGAATAGCCATTTTTGCGAAAAGTAATTTTTACGAATTGTCGTTTTTGCGAATTGTCATTTTTGCGAAATTTCATTTTTGAGAAATGTCATTTATGCGAATTGTCACTTTTGCGAATCGCCATTTTTACGAATTGTCACTTTTCCGAAAAGTCATTTTTGCGAATTGTCATTTTTGCGAAAAATACAATAGTGAATCTATATATACCTACAAGTTTACTATTGTATTAGTGACATATAAGTGACAATTCGCATAAATGACATTTCTCAAAAATGAAATTTCGCAAAAATGACAATTCGCAAAAACGACAATTCGTAAAAATGACTTTTCGCAAAAATTACTATTCGCAAAAATGGCTTTTCGCAAAAATGACTATTCGTAAAAATGACATTTCGCAAAAATGGCTTTTCGCAAAAATGACTATTCGCAAAAGTGCAGTTCGGTAAAATGACATTTCGTAAAAATGACATTTGGGGAATAATCATGCGTCCCTTTGATTATATCAAATAGTTTTATCAAATTTCATATTATTGTCATAAATTATCATTCTAAAATTATGTCTATTTAATTGAAAATTTATTATTTATTAGATTATAAATGAAAAGTATTATTTGCAGAAACCCAAAAATATTATGTGCTTATAAATTCAAGAATATAATATTTTTAATATAAGAAGAACGGCTTAATAGATAGGTTAAGAATATATTCTCGTAAGATATTTTTAGAATACCCGAGTCGAACTTTTAGACCTGCTTACCTCCTGGTAAGTATAATTTAACCCTAACCTGCACCTAACAAACCCTTAGTGTTTTTTTCCTCCTGCGTAAGTTCTATTTAACTCTGACAACTCCTTTTTAAGTCCTAATTGAACCTTAAACCCTGTATTGCTTCTACCACATTCTTACGCAATAGGAAATGTTACGCGCGGTACAAGATATTCAACTTACTATTGTTTTGCAAATTACAAAATTTTTTATTTTGAAAATTTCACGAAAGAATTCAATTATTTTCTAAAATTTTAATAAATCCTTCGAAAAAATTCAATTATTTTTATAAATAGTAAAATTCTTCCGAAGAATTCAATTAATTTTATAAATATGTAGTAAAATTCTTTGCAGGAATTCAATTATTTTCAAAACAATTTTAATTGAATTCCTTAGATGAATTCAAATATTTTAAAATATTTTCATAAATTGCAATTATTTTCTTAAACTTTAATAAATTCTTCGAAATAATTCAACTATTTTTATAAATACTAAAACTCTTTGCAAGAATTAAATAATTATTAACCCAATTAAAATAAAATTAAACGAAAGAATTTAATTATTTTCAAAAATTCCCATAAAATTTAGTTTCAACAAGAATTTAAAATTTTTGAAAAACAATTTAATTATTCTCAAAATATTAAAAAAAAATTCTATATAAGAATTAAATTACTAGCTCAATACAATTTTTGAATATATTCGTCAAAAGAATTGAAATAATTCTATTATTTTCGAAAAGTAATTAAAATTCTTATGATGAATTCAATTATTTTGAATATATACTTAATTTTAATAAAATTCTTTAAAGAAATTCAATTATTTTCGAAACAACTTTAATTGAATTTTTCGAAAAAATTTCATGATTTTTAAATATTTCTATAAAATTCTTCATAAACAATTTAATTATTTCTTAAAATTTTAATAAATTCTTCGCAAGAAATCACTTATTTTCAATACAATTTTAATAAAATTCTTCTTCATAAAATTCAATTGCTTTCGAAATTTTCAATTAAAATTATTAAAGAAACTCCATTAGTTTAAAAAAAATTCAAAGAAATTTTTCAAAAAAATTTAATTAGGATTTTTAAAAATATTAATAAAATTCTTTGCGAGAATTTAGTTATTTTTCTAAATAAAGAAATTCTTTGAAGGAATATTCTATTATTATCAAATTTTTTGATAAAATTCTTTGCAACAATTCGAAGATTTTCAATACATTAATTTTAAAATTGAAAATATTTGAAAAGAAAAATTAAAAAAAGATTAAGAAACCAAAATGTAAACAACATTTAACTTCAAACTGCGAATAGGTTACCGAAACATGTACTTTTTTATTATTAATTTATAAATATTATTTTTAACTGAAATGTTTTGCCATTTTTTTAAATAATAAAAATATTAATTTATGAATGTTTAAAGGTTATTATTATTAAACAATTTATTTATTTGCTGTAGTGTATTAGTGTCAATTAATGCTTTATTGAGTCACTCAACAAGTCACTGAAAATAGAGCGTCTGTGTTCAATTAGGTTCCGTAGCATAGTGGTTAGGGCGTTAGTTTCGTAGTCCGTAGTTCGTAGGTCGTAGGTTCAAGTCTCGCGTGCGTTAGATTTTATTTATTTCGTAGGTTTGCGTTTATTCCGATTTTTCTGTATTGTATAGGTATAAGTATGCAATTTAATGATTATATACACCGTTAAATAATTTAATTAACAAATATTAAATTAAAAATTTTTTTTATATATAAATGGATATGTATTAATCCCCACATATATACTAACATTATTTATGAATTCGCTATTGGTCACGATTAAATTAAAAAAAAAGTAAAAATCATTAAATAATAATGCCATTTATTAATAATTAAAGTTATTATAAAAATTAGTTAAAAATGATCTCAAATATGCTATGAGCAGTTTTTCCAGGGTTTTTGGAGAGGAAAGAATTCTGTAAGTAAGGGTCAAGCAGTATTTAATAAGGTTCTAGGAACACCTGCTTTCCCCCTTTTACCATCTAAATTTGTCGCTAACCAGGGGTTTGCAGGAGGTAATCAGAGTTAACTTGCAATGCAAATAAACTCTGCTTTCATCCTATTACATCCTTACAATATATTACAATATTATATCCCGAGTCGAACTTTTAGACCTGCTTACCTCCTTAAAACTGAGGGTTTGTAAGGATGTAATAGGATGAAAGCAGAGTTTATTTGCATTGCAAGTTAACTCTGATTACCTCCTGCAAACCCCTGGTTAGCGACAAATTTAGATGGTAAAAGGGGAAAAGCAGGCGTTCCTAGAACCTTATTAAATACTGCTTGACCCTTACTTACAGAATTCTTTCCTCTCCAAAAACCCTGGAAAAACTGCTCATAGCATATTTGAGATCATTTTTAACTAATTTTTATAATAACTTTAATTATTATTAATAATAAATTTGTTTCTCCGCTGAGTTTATTAATAAGTTAATTGGTGCCGTAATTAATCAGATAAAAACTTAAAAAAATATAACTCAAAAGTAAGTTTTCAAAAGTTAGTTAAATCTTAAATTTGTCATCTTTATTACTACACTGTAAATAAAAGGTTCTAAATTAGAGCTGATTTTCGGTATTAACAGCATGTGACTGTTACAGAAATCAATGTTAATTTTTCGACCACTTTTCTCTTAAAATATTAAATAAATTAAGCTAGTTTTTTGTGAATAACTCTAAAATATCATAAAGAAGGGCAGTGATGTGAAAAAGTTTTAATATTTTTAAAATTATTTATTAAAAAATAACTTTAAAATTATCAGTTCTCAAAATCACTTTTAATCAATTTCTCGTCTTTTCCGATTTCAATGTATTTTTTTATAATTAATTTTAGAATTATTAAAGCTTTTGCACATCACTGCTCTTCTTTATTATATTTTAGAGTTATTCACAAAAAACTAGCTTAATTTATTTAATATTTTAAGAGAAAAGTGGTCGAAAAAATTAACATTGATTTCTGTAACAGTCACATGCTTTTAAAATAGAACCAAATGACGATTTAGTACCCAAAATTGGTACTAAATTAATACCTTTCTTTTTACAATGAAAAAAGTTTCTTTTAAGGGTAAAGGGTAAATGCCATTGTCGATTATCGCAATAAGTAGCACAAAGTTTTGTTGATGATTAATCATAATAAATATTAAAACTTCTAGTATTTAAATATTATATTATTAACTTCTAATAAACTTTAATTTAATTTTCGAGCAGGAAGCAATTGAAAAATGATCTTTTTTACTTTGTAAATCCAAAATGTCTGACTGATGTCCAACTATACTCAAGTATTTGTAACAAATTTATATGATTTTTAATCCTGAAAAAACTCTTTTATTGATAATGTGCTTAAAAGTACAATAACTATTTGTTGTTTCAAGAAAAAAAAGCATAATATAAGATCGTATCCATAAGTGTCTGACAACTAGCGCATTGACTCTATTATTTTATTTATAAATTTATAAAATCAACATTTCGAAGAATACAAATTTTTGTAATTAAATCAGATATAAAGTTTTTGTAAACTAAAATTTAGATTTGCAAGGGAATGTTTATAGAGAAAATCCCACTTTTTTTCTATTCAATAGGATCTATGTTGTATTTCTTTTCTTCATTTCTCTTATTCAGTCTTCACGATCTATAAAGAAAATAATTATTTTAGTAATTTTTTTTTTTTTGAGGATTTATTTGAAATTTTTAAAAATTATTCTCTGTTGACTATGCTAGATTATCGTTTCGTAGGAAAACCCCATGACATAATACGCACCTGGATCAAAAGTCTCTATAGTGTTCGGAGGAGGGAGTCGATGTCCTCGGAGTCGGTGTTCGTGAGCCAACGAACAGTTTTCAGCATGCTCAGTATGGCGCGGAGCGCGTTGTCAGTCGGGTCTTTCATTATAGGTGATTTTCTTCGTTTCCGGTAGCACGTTGGCGTCGTTTCCGCCACGTGACGCCATTTGAAAATGATCTCTTTGATAAATTTTAATGGAGCATTAAAAAATTGAGTGAAGTTTTTGGAATATTTTCAAAAAAAGAAGGAAACTATTTTAGTGTTTTAATATTTTTTAATGGAAAATATAAAAGAAGTGAAATGTATTCTTTTGAACGTTGAATCTTGGATTTGGATTATATAGTTTTGGATCGACTCCGAACGTAGAGAAAGATCTTTGCGTCTTACTTCATCTCAAAGAGAATGTAAGTCAGACAAAACAGCGATGCCAGATCTCTAACTTTGCCGGTTACATTGATGAATCATTTATGTGTCCTGTTGCGTGGTCATCCTCGTAGATGAAAATTTATCAGGGAAATGATGATTGAGGTGGTCTTTTTAGTTTTTGAATGATGATGATGGGAACGTTTGAAAAAATCACTTCGTGCCGCTTTTTTTCCCAGTGCGATCAAGTAGTTCAAGTCAGTTTTGTGTTAGACGTCTAATTTTGTCTGAAAAATTGTCACTTGTGTTACTTACTACTTGTGTTGGGAAAAATTTTCCAACATGAAAAGTTTCTCAGAAAAGTCGGTAGCAATATTGTGGACGCAGAATTTGATAGAATTGTTGTTGCTCTTCATGTGATTTTTCAAACTTAAAGAACAAGTTGTTTTGTTTATTCTTTTATATCCTTATGAAGCTGAAACTGGCACTCAGACATTAGCACCTACTTAATTTCTCAAAATTTTATGTTCATTTGATTGTTTAAAACTTGTACATCATTTGAAATTTGTTTAAAAATTTAAGTTCAAAATTGTGTAAATTGTCTGCGAAAATTAGAAACTTTTGTGTAATTTAGAAAAAAAAAATTTCATTTAGTCTCGATAAATTAAAATTTTAATGCTAAACCTCAATTAAAAGAAATTTTAATTTTTTAGGAAATTTTTCGTTTAGGCAATAAGAATAAATTTGTTTTGAAAGAAATATTCATTTAGAGATGATAAAATCGCAGATCCGTTTAATTGGGAAGAAATTGGGAGTGGGGAGGGGGGGTATTATATTTGCAAAAATATTTCACTCAAGGACTAATTTTTTTATTTTCTATACATGGGTGATTCTACAAAAGAGGGAATTTTGATGTCTGAAGCATGTTTTGTATATTAATTTTGGAAAGAATAATTTTACTTTTAATGGAAATTGTAAATCTTAATGGTTTCTTTTATGGCACAGAAAAAAAACCGATGAAAAAAAATATTTTTTTGCAAAAAATACACATTATAGTGCTAAATTCTCATTCGTCTGGCATGTCCCTTTGGGAGAATGACAGTTCACATTGAGAATAAATATCACTTTTCAAATGTTTTGCGGAAATTTCATACTGAATTAGTAATTTTGAATAGTAGTTGTAGATTACTAATATGAAAATAATTATGACGTTTCTCTATATCTTATTTATAAAATATCTTCGGGAAGTTTGTCCCCTGAATTTTTTATCATTCGTCTGGCAGTGCAAAAAATGTAAAAATGATTAAAAATCAACATTCTGATGAAGTGACTGTTCGTTGTAGTTGTTAATCAAACTAAACTAAATGTGATACCAATCGGGTTTTATTGAATCTTCTAATCTATTAACCAAGATTTCTCAATTTGTGACGGAGATTGTGTTGTGACCAGACAAATTCTCATTCGTCTGGCATACATTTTTTAAAAAAATATTTTATTTTTTGGTTATTCTATAGACTTATGTTTTGTAGATTATTATTCTCTATAAGATAGTACTGAAGGATTTTTTCATTTAATGTTATTTTTCTGTTTTTTTTTAAACAAAAAATGCCAAAATCTCATTCGTCTGGTTCTCATTCGTCTGGCACACGGAGAAACTTTTTCTTATAATATTAAATATATTTGGTTATGTTTATTCTAAAAGTACGTTAGAATGTGAGGATTTTTCGTGCGTTGTGCTAATAATTTCAACATTAATACGAAAATATGATAAGTTCGTTATATATTAAGCAACCTTCGGTGTACAAAAATTACTATCTGCATTAGAAATAGTCTTATTTTTCTTTAGAAAAGAATAAAATGCTAGTTTTTGTTTGTGAAATAATACGGTAATTCTAACCTTTTTTCCACATATAGATAGAATATATAACAGACATTCTAACGTAGCATACCAATTTTGGAAGGACTGCGGGCGGACTTAACCGATTTCGCCCGAGCATCACCGAGACCATCACCTGACGTCGCGAACTAACCCTAATGTTTTCGAAGTTGAAATTCACACGTGTATGAAAGAAAAAAACCTTTTATTAATAAACGTGAATGTCTCCTCATGCCAAATTAAATTCAAGAACTGTTCCTCAATATAACATAATTTTTTTCACGACTTTTACTTATTTACATAATTTGATTAGTAAGTTATTTTAAAAAATGCTCTCTCTCGAAGGCACATATTTTTCCACTCGTTTAATATATAAGGACGATTCAGCTGTGTACTTCTAACGAATCGTGCGATCTTTCGGTTTCCGTGACCAATCGTCGTGTCTTTACTTGCGTGTGCGTGTGTGCGTTAATAATATAGGTTAGGTTCTTACGTCGTGTTAAATATATTTACCTACAGTTACAGTGACATTCACTAATGCCATCTACCATCAGATCCAAGTATCACTATCGTCTCTATGAGTATCTATAGACAATTAATTTGTTGTGTTTCTTTTTAATTCATGGCTTTCCCAACTTTGCAAAAATTATTATTTTCTTTCTAAAACAACATACTAATTTTCGTTAGTTTCCTTATGAAGAACTGTAAAATATATACTGAATGAGTGTTTTTGATAGTCTCAATAGCAATTTCTATAACCTATGTCGTTTTTCCCTTGAATCTAACCTAACATACTAAAATGTCTCACCAGTTTTAAGAATTATTGGTATTAAAAGTTTCTCCGTGCACTTTTGAGATAGGATGTATATACTATATCACTAAAAATAGCGTAAAACTAACAATTTTCAACTATTGTTCGATTTTCTGGTCTTAAAATAATCCTAATTAAATTTGCAAGAAATTGCTATAACTGAATTTTCAATTTTCATTTCGCATAAATAATTATATTGACATAAACAAACAAATGGAATAAGTATTTTTTTATATGAATAAAGTTTAGCCCACTAAAATCAAAGTAGTTCTTTATTATTAGACACTTGAACTTACTTTTACAATTTTATGATTTGTGAAATTGTGCTTATAGAAACAAATAGACCATCCGTAATTTGTTATAAACAATTATTAATTAAATTACAACCAAAATTAATTAAACCGATGACTTTTATTGATCCTCGTAAAAATCGTTACTTAGGGGTTTTCGGGGTTGCTGATTAAGAACCTAATGTCAGTTTTTAAAATTTTTCAATTCAAAATGGCGGATCCAATATGGCCGACGATTTTGGAGAAACTTAACATATTCGTCTGAAAATCGTTACTCGGTGATTTTCTGTTTCGCTTATTACCAATCCGAGGTCAACTTTTTTCAAATTAACCATTGTTTTTACAATTTGTTTAAACAATTTAATTATGCTTTTTAGTTCTACTACTATATTTATAGTTCATACATGTATAAAAATAAATAAATAAATTTTAAATAATTTTTAATAATCATAATTAATTAATTAATTACTTAAATAAATTAAATAAAAATAAATTAATAAGTTATTAAAAAGTAAATTCAAAATTAAACTCAACGTTAAAAACTAGAGGTGTACTCAAAGTATTTAGTATTCGATTTTTTCTGGTACTCGATTTCTTTTCAGTCCTCGGAAATTTCCGTATGCATCAAGTATTCCGTATTTTAAATAATCTTGAACTATCTGATTCAAAAGTTGCGAAAATGGTGGTAACTTGTAAATTGTTAGTTCTAACTTTTCCTCTAGGTTAATAACTTATTTGACGTTTAAATATATTTTACAAAATCAAATTTAATAAAAATCGAACAATTTTTTTAAAATTCATTTAATTAGATTCTTAATCAGCGACCTCAAAAACCCCCGGGTAACGATTTTTAGACGAATACGATCAGTTTTTTCAAAACTTGTCCGCCATATTGGATCTGCCATTTTAAATTTTGAAAAACTGACATTTGATTCTTAATCAGCAACCCCGTAAACCCCCGAGTAACCAATTTTATAAAAATCCATTCATTAATTTTTATGTTAATGTGAATTTTCTTGACACGATTTTAATTCTCTGGATAAATTGTTTATAAATAACCATAACTTTTGTAAAATTTAATATTTTGTCTGGCCACTTATGGATGTCTTTATTAGTACCATTAACTTGAAGTTAAAATACTTTTCAGACCTTAAATGAGAAAAAAATGTTGTGTCCAAATTTTCTTGATTTTCGTCCTTCGTTTGTAGAATCACCCACATACATGTATACATATACGAAGAAAAAAGTAAATAAAAGGAAAGGCGCAGTGATTACGTTCAATTATTCTATACACACGTGTCATAAACAAGGTCTACATCTATGGATAGATAAAAGGCTTCGTCCATAAATTACGTCACACGTTTTTAGCCCATTTTTAACCCCCTCCCCCCCTTTGTCACACTGCGTAACATCTGAAGGAACCCCCTCCCTCTAAATTACGTCACAATTCGTAAACCCCTTTTTAATAAATTTTTCCAAAATGAATCACTGTCAATATCTAATTTTACATAAATAAAGTGGATTACTTTCGAATAAGGGGGACCTCCGATTTCAATAAAAATTGGTATACCAACGTATTTTGATGCGTTGATTACGAAAATGATAATGAAAATTGGCGCAAATTTGATGTTCATGGTGAAAACTATAAAAAAAACCTTAAAATTGTGGTTTTTTGCGTATAATTCGTTGGATTGGATTAATCATATTTTTTTGTGTTTAAAAATATTTGTAAATTTTTTTTGCTTTTATATGGAGGAAGAAGGAATCATTTACCTTCAGTTGGAAATTTTTTTTTTATCAAAATTTAATTGATTGCAGAGATAATTGTGATATTTTTTGTTTTCTATTTAATTCTGAAAAACCCAAGGTGGATAACTCCTTCCTCCTCCATAATTTTTTGTGTTTAAAAATATTTGTAAATTTTTTTCTGCTTTTATTTCGAGGAGGAAGGAGGCATCCACCTTGGATTTTTCAGAATATAAAAGCAGAGAAAAATTTACAAATATTTTTAAACACAAAAAATTATGATTAATCCAATCCAACGAGTTAAACGCAAAAAACCAC